AAGAAGAAGAAGAAGAAGAAGAAGAAGAAGAAGAAGAAGAAGAAGAATGGAGTAGGGAAAAAAGATACAAGAAAGAAAGGGATAGAAAAAAAGAAAAAAGAAGGAAAGGAAGATGGAAGAAAGAAAGAAAAGAAAGAAGAAAGAAAGGAAGGAAGGAAGAAAAGAAAGAAAAATAAAACCCTTGTGACAAATATGCCTAGGCAAGTAGAACCAATTCCTGCCTTGGCCATGCATACAAGCATGTCTTGTTCTGCATTTTGGCTCCCTTCTCTGACAGTAGCATCCTTCTCCGTGGGTCCTCTGGAATCATGGCTGGTCATTGCATTGATCCAAGTTATCAGGACTTTCAAAATTGATTAATCTTCTTGTTATGTAAATTGCTCTCCTGGTTCTGCTCACTTCCCTCTGCATCAGTTCATACAAGTCTTACCAGGTTTCTTCAAAACCATCACTTTCATTACTCTTTCAGTACAATAGTATTCTATTACCTTCATATATCATAATTTGTTTAGCCATTCACCAATTAATGGGCCATCGCTTAGTTTCTAGTTCTTTGTCACTTTAAAAATCAGGTCCTATATTTTACATCAGGGGAAACTGAGACCCAGAAAGGGGAGTGACTCAATAAAGTCACACACATACAATAAGTTCCAGAGCCAAGATTCAAATCCAAGGCTCCAGGGCTCTTTTACAACTGCCCTGAAGCCATGATAGCTCCCTGGGCTATAGAATCTTCTTTTTAGAGTTTCCTTGATAGCTAGGTGGCACAGTGGATAGGGGTCTGAGCCTCAAATCAGGAAAGCCTGAGTTCAAATCCTGCCTCAGACACTTACTAGCTGTATGACCCTGGACAAGTCACTTCATCTATGTTTGCCTTAGTTTCCTCAACTGTAAAATTAGGGATCATAATAGCACCTATCTCCCAGGGTTGTGATGAAGCTGAAATGAGATATTTGTAAAGTGCCTTAGCAAATACCTGGCACATAGTAGGTGTTTAACCAATGCTTGTTTCTGTCCTTGGAGATCTCCAGTTTCTTGGCAGGCCTCACCCTCAGTGACTTCAGCAGGCTGGTGACTCAGTGGCCAGTACGCCTGCTGTCAATCCCCTGGCCCTCCGTGCTCCAAATCACTCACCATGTGGTGGCCCTGTGGCTTTGCCCATGACTGGAGGGTAACGTGGGCCCCTCTCGCCTGCTGCCTTGACACACTTTCTTTCAGTTTTACTTTGACTAAAAGAGGGAGTGATGTTTGATGTTGCCTTTCCTAGCTTGGTCTCTCTCATGTACAGTTTCAACATGCATTTGGGGTGGGCCCCACCAGTTCCCCGTTCACCTCTCCAGAAGTACAGCTGACCTTCAGGGCTGCTGTCGGTGAGCCTGTGGGTCCCTCCCCGGCTGGCCTGAGACAAGACCCTGTGTGAAGCAGACCTCGGAGGCCCCACCTGCACAGACCGACACCAGCCTCTGCTTTCGGACCCCACAGGGATAGGATGCCTTGGTTGCTTCTTCTGATTCTTGCTGGCTTGGCTCGGAGGGGTGAGTTCAGCTGAGGAGAGATAGTAGTTGTTATACCTGTATAACTTTTCCTGCTTCTGAAAAGACAAAGGATAGGATGCTTCCCCTCCCAAAAGCTTGGGTGGGTGGGGGACATCCCAGAAAACATCTCAGAGGAGGTGGGCTTGGAAGAAAAGGGAGGGTGTCAGCAGGCAAAGGTAAGAATGGTGAGAAGGTATCCCAGGCAGAGGGAACTGCATGAGCAAAGGACCTGAGAGGGGGAAATTGCCAGCATGTATGAGAGCAATGGTGAGATTTCCAATTTGGCTCCAGCATACAATAGATTCATAGACTGAAAAGGGAAGGACTTTGGGATACAGAGCTTAGTCTAACCCCCTCATTTTATGTTGAGGAAATTGGTCACACAGCTGGTGTCTGGCGCGTGGGTATTTATTGTGCCCTCTCAACTCCTCCTCTGATGTATCCTATAATGCCTCTTGATATAGGAGAACGGGGAGATGTATGGATGGAAAGACAATCTGGGGGCAGTCTGTGGAGCACTATGCATGCCAGGACTGAGAATCTGAACTTCACTGTAGCTTGGGAAATGACTTTGCTCATTTAAATCCACATCTGGAGAGATATTTTGAGAGTGGGAAGGGACCTTTGAGACCATAGAGTCCAACTTTTTTATCTTACAGATGGGGAAACTGAGGCTTGGTCCATGGTTATGTGGTGAATCAGTGGCAGAGCTCAGATTTCTGGGTGGGCTATTGCTGGGATTGGGATTTCTCAGTGGTATAGCAAATATAAAGCAAGCAGTGACCTAATCAATTCTAGGTCTAAGGATAGGGTTTCTGTGGAGTCTATAAAAATAAAAGGGAAAAAGGACTAAGATTTTTCAGTCTTGCCCTATCCAGAAAAAAGGTTCTTCTGAAGGGCATATTTGAGCCTTTGGGACAGGTAGATTCCAGAATGGAGGAGATGATCTCCAGTGACGATAGCATTTGACTTGGACTTAGAAGCCTTAGGTTCAAATCCAGACTCTTTCACTTACTAACTAGGAGACTTTGGGTAAGTCATTCCCCCTCCCAGTGCCTCAGATTCCATGTCCCATTCCTGACAGATTTGCTCTTCTAGAAGCAGATGGTATGGTAGTAGATAGGGTACTGGTCTTAGAGTCCAAAAGACCTGGATTAAAATCCTGTTTTAGATACTAGCTGTGTGACCCTGGGTAAATCACTTAACTTCTATAGGTCTCATTTTCCTCTTCTGTAAAATAGGGGGTCAATTGAGTGTAATACTCTGCAACATTGTATGCCCACCTCTACAAAGAAAAGGAGGAGGTAGAGCAGTTGTTTTCTGAGGCATCCTTTGGGATTGCTCTTCCCAGGGGTGAGCAGACATGTGGGGCATAGATTGATTCCTCAGTGATTCTTAGGAAGAAGGCAGAAGGATGGACCAGGAAGAGGCTGGCTTAGGAAGGAGGTTTCCTGTCACACTTTACTCAGCCTCCACCCATGTCTTAGGGCCCTGGTGCTCTGTGGAGACACTGGGGGAGGGGGCTCTTATAGGATGTCAAGGAAAGTCAGTTGCAAACAGGAAACAGGATGTGTGGGCTCTCAGGGTGTGCTGCAAGTGCCCAGAGAAGCACGGGGGCTCAGGATGCTTGACCTTATGGACAAATGAAAGAATCGAGGAGACCCCTTGGGGGAACGGTCAGGGATCAGAGTTCAATTAGCTATTCTAATGAGCTTGGGAACCAATCAGCCAGAGTTGGGAAAGGCACTTCCCATAACAGCCTGACATTTTAAATCCTTTGCAATGTGGCCCCCACCTCCCTTTCCAGCCTTATTTTACCCCTCTTGAGGTTCCAGGCAAACTTGTCCACTGGCTATTCCACTTATACAAATTCTATCACCCACCTTCACACCTTTGCACAGCTGGTCTCCCATATCTGGAATGCACTCCCTCCTCACCTCTGCCTTATAGAAAACCATGCTTCCTTCAAAGTATGGCTCAGGTGTTACTTCTCCTTTTTTAAAATTAATTTATTTATTTTAGTTTTCAACATTCACTTCCACAAGATTTTGAATTCCAAATTTTCTCCCCATCTCATCCCACCCCAAGACAGCGTGCATTCTGAATACCCCTTCCCCTTATCTTTCCTCCCTTTTATCTCCCCTCTCCTCTCTTATCTCTTCCCCTTCTATTTTCCTGTAGGGCAGGATAGATTTCTATACCCCATTGCCTGTATATCTTATTTCCCAGTTGCATGTGAAAACAATTTTTAACATTTGTTTTTAAAACTTTGGGTTCCAAATTTTCTCCCTTCCTCCCTCCCCACCCACTGTCATTGAGAAGGCAAGCAACTCAATATAGGTTATACATGTGTAGTCATGCAAAACACTTCCATAGTAGTCATGTTGTGGAAAACTAACTATATTTCCCTTCATCCTATCCCGCCCCCTGTTTACTCTATTCTCTCTTTTGACCCTGTCCCTCCTCAGAAGTGTTTGCTTCTGATTACTCCCTTCCCCAATCTGCCCTCCCTTCTATCATCCCCTCACTCTCTTATCCCCTTCCCCCCTATTTTCCTGTAGGGTGAGATAGCTTTCCATACCCCATTGAGTGTGTATGTTATTCCCTCCTTAAGCCAAATGCTATGAGAATAGGATTCACTCATTCTCTCTCACCTTCCCCCACTTCCCCTCCACTGTAAAAGCCTTTTCTTGTCTGTTTTATGTGAGATAATTTACCCCATTCTACCTCTCCCTTTCTCCTTCTCCCAGTATAATCCTTTCTCACCCCTTAATTTTATTCTCCAGATATGACCCATTCATCTTCAGCTCACCCTGTGCCCTCTACTTATCTAACCATATAATTTTTTCTCTCCAACTACCCTAATACTGACAAAGGTCTCATGAGTTACAAATATCATCTTTCCATGTAGGAATGTAAACAGTTCAACCTTAAAAAGTCCCTTATGATTTCTCTTTCCTGTTTACCTCTTCATGCTTCTCTTGAGTGTTGTATTTGAAAGTCAAATTTTCTATTCAGCTCTGATCTTTTCATCAAGATTGCTTGAAAGTCCTCTATTTCACTGAATGTCCATTTTTTCCCTGAAGGATTATACTCAGTTTTGCTGGGTAGGTGATTCTTGATTGTAATCCTATCTCCTTTGCCCTCCAGAATATCATATTCCAAGCCCTCTGGTTCCTTAATGTAGAAGCTGCTAACTCTTGTGTTATCCTGATTGTGTTTCCACAACACTTGAATTGTTTCTTTCTGGCTGCTTGCAATATTTTCTCCTTGACCTGGGAACTCTGGAATTTGGCTACAATATTCCTAGGAGTTTTCCTTTAGGGACCTCTTTCAGGAAGTGATTGGTATATTCTTTCCATTTCTATTTTACCCTCTGTTTTTAGAATATCAGGGCAGTTTTCCTTGATAATTTCTTAAAAGATGATGTCTAGGCTCTTTTTTTGATCATGGTTTTCAAATAGTCCAATAATTTTTAAATTATCTCTCCTGGATCTATTTTCCAGGTCAGTTTTTTTCCAATGAGATATTTTACATTGTCTTCTATTTTTTCATTCTTTTGGTTTTGTTTTACAATGTCTTGATTTCTCATAAAGTCACTAGCTCCCGATTGCTCCATTCTAATTTTTAAGGAAGCATTTTCTTCAGTGAGCTTTTGGACTTCCTTTTCCATTTGGCCAATTCTGCTTTTTAAGGCATTCTTCTCCTCATTTGCTCTTTGGATCTCTTTTGCCATTTGGGTTAGGCTATTTTTTAAGGTGTTATTTTCTTCAGTATTTTTTTGGGTCTCCTTTAGCAAGCTGTTGACTAGTTCTTCATGATTTTCTTGCATCACTCTCATTTCTCTTCCAAATTTTTCCTCTACTTCTTTTACTTGCTTCTCAAAACCCTTTTTGAGTTCTTCCATGGCCTGGGACAGATTCATATTTTCCTTGGAGGCTTTGGATGTAGGAGCTTTGACTTTGTTGTCTTCTTCTGGTTGTATGTTTTGATCTTCTTTGTCACCAAAGAAAGATTCTATGGTCTGACTTTTTTTTTTTTTGCATTGTTTGCTCATGCTCCCAGCCAATTACTTGAGTTTTAAACTCTTTGTTAAGGTAGGGGTCTGCTTTCAGTGTGGAAAATGTACTGTCTCAAGCTTTGGGGGGTTTGTGCAGCTGTTTTCAGAGATACTCTAGAGATTTGTAAATTTTCAGTTCTTCCAAAGTGGTATGATTAAGGATGAGGTGTTTACTCCTTTCCTGGCCTGTACTCTGGTCTGTGAGTGATCACAAGCATTCTTTTCTGCCTTGGAACTCTGAAGAGGATTCCCTCTCCACCACCACTCCAAGTTCCATCTCACCAGTGCTCCTCCTTGCCCCACGACCACCCAGAACTGTGTTCCTCTCCCAGCTCGGCATGATATACCTTCCCGATCAACCATTCAGGTTGTCTTGGGTTGGAAATTTGTTTCACTCTGTCTTTTTGTGGGTTCTGCTATTCTAGAATTTGTTTAGAGCCATTTTTAACAAGTATTTGAAGGGGTTTGGGGGAGAGCTCAAGCAAGTCACTGCTTTTACTCCATTATCTTTCAGGCATTACTTCTTTCAGAAATCTGTGTCTTGTCTAAGCTTGACATCAGGACTTAGCACAGTGCTCTGCACACAGTAGGTGCTTAATGCATGTTCATCGAGCTAAAGGTTTTCAAAGCACTTTTCTCACAACTGCCTTGTCAGGTCAGTCAGTCAGTTGGTTAACAAGCATTTATTAAGCACCTAGTAGGTTCCAGGCATTGTGCTAAGCACTGGGATACAAGGAAAGGGAAAGAATGATCCTAGTCTGTAAGGAACTCACATTCTCATGAAGGAGGCAGCATACAAAAAGATATATATGTATGAGATAAATGCAAATGGTTATGAATTCCAGAGTAGAGGGCATTGAATAAACAGGAGGTAATCTCAGAGAGAGGGCAGCTGGGCAGTGCAGTAGATAGAATGCTGAGCCTGAAGTCAGGAAGACTC